TGTTATGAATAATGTAATGAAAGAGAAGAATTTAAAGAAATGTATTTAAATCCAATCGTGTTATAAGTACATAAAATTTTGATAGACAACATATGGCTTTGAATCATTGGAAGATGGAAGGAGAGAAAAAGAAAGATCGATCATGCACCAGCATATAACCGTTGGTATGAATTCTATCATCATTTTTTTTTTTTTGTTTTGGTACTTGTGGCTTTTTCCTGTTAAATCTTCTTTCGACAGTAGTCCATTAACTTCTACATAACTGAATAGGGCCATGGAGAATGTTTGCAACCTTCTGTGGAGCTCAGCAAAATTAATCATCCTAAAAATAAATCTAGACAACAAACTTGGTGAAGAATATTGGGTCTTCCCTTTGGTTTCTCCCCACATGATCATTACATGCCTATTTTATTTGGATCTACACTATGTAGTAATGTATGTGGTTTATTTATTTATTTTTATTTTATTTTGATCTACACGACGTAGTAATGCACGTGATTTTTTTTTATTACCTAGATAGCTTCTGTCCGTAATAACCAATAGGAACTTCCGTCCTTCCCCTCCCCAGCGGCGACCTCGAAACGTTCAAGGTCGCAGGGTTCACTTCTTCCATGTTTGCAACTTTTAACCCCACATGTTTTGTCCAGTTTAGCCTTCAACTTTTGACTTTATTCATTTCAGTCCTTAAGCTTCTAAATCATCCAATTTGGTTCTCCAACTTTGGATCTCTTCAATTTTGGTTCTCCATCTTTTCACCATATCCAAATTAGTCCCCAACTTCTGATTTCAATCATTTGGTAACCAAAATTCATAAAATCTTTTAGTTCGATTCCAATTCTATCCAATTGAGTCCCAATACTGTCTGACATCGATCTAACTTCATCTTTTAAAATCACTTTCTTTTGCTTTGTACACATTCAAATTAGGGATACAACATATAAAAAGTCAAATACAATATAAAGCGAGTAGAAATTCGCTCAAATAATCAAATATTAAGTAGATTTAGCCCTTATTCGGGCTCCATTTTTTTCAAATTATAATGAAAAGAATAGTAATTTTTTGAATAATGTGTGGTTAAAAAGATTTTTTTTTAGATTTATGTACAATATTATTTTATTGGAGAATATGTAGTTGATAAGAGGAGAGATGAAAATGAATTTTAATTTAATGGGAGCCAAACATGGGGCTTAAGTGTGTGTTTAATTGACATTGAAAATATTTCATAGGAAATATTTTTTTTTTTTTTTGAGGAAAATAAAAAACTTACCTCCCCAAAGAAAATGTTTTCTTCAAAAAAGGATAACTAAGCATATTTTTAAAGGTTGAAAAATACTTTTTTATGGAAAAAATGGCAATCAAACATTTCCAAAAGTTGAAATTTGAGTGAAAAAAATATCATTTTTCATGAAAAATTTTCTAATCAAACACACCCTAAGAGTCTAAATAAGTGTGTAAAACATTTCTGTCATTTGTATAACATAAGATTAATATGATTATATTTAATTTTGAATTGATAAATCAATGATGGGGTCTTTTAATAAATTTATGAGAATATAATATAAAAATTTAGTTAAAAAAGATTGCAGGATCCTAGAACTTTGGAAAATGCTTTAGAATCTAATCTAAAAAAATTAAAATTCAGCAGAACTTCTTAAAAAAATCGTATAATTTTTTATGTTAAGAGATCCTCAAATGCTTAGATTTGTACGTAGGAAAACTATATTATAATAACCTTTCACTTCAAACATGAAAAATAATCATTAATTTTAATTTTATTTTTTTTGAAATATATTAACATCAAGATAAAATAGATATGTTTCGACCCATCACGTAGTTCAAGATATTTGATTCAATTTATCAAGTTGGTCAATATGGTTGAACAAAGCGTTGGCCTAACAAGTTTGTGATAAGATGAGCATATGAAAGTGAGTATGAATGAAAAAGACACTGCATAGCGACAAAAATTATGACTATGACGCATAAAATGTAATTATATACTATTGAGTTGAACCCCAACCTTAAAGGTTCCCCATCGTTCCTATCCTGGAGCATCGTTAGGGAGGTAAATTGCAGGTTATGCCTCCAAGGGTACAGGGTGGAAAGCTGCTTGTACATTTGCACTTATTCAAGAACTAAATCCATATTTCAGGATTCGAATCCTTGATGCAGCAACCTCAAATAAAATTGGATTTCTCCACCCTTCTCTTTTATCACTTGGAGATGTGCCCTGGGGGCAATAATTATATACTGTTCATTGTACTTCTAGTCTTTAAAAGAGGTAAATTATATTTTATCATTATTAAAGTATGCCATTCAGAATAGTTATTTCAAATAAATAAATAAATAAAGCTGGCCTACCAACTTGATGATGAGCTGAGTTGCCATCAATTTTAGTGTACAAATTAGCTACTTGGTGGCCCCATGTTTTCGTGCTGTTGGCTAATTGGTTGGGTCATAGGAGCAAATTAATAGATTATGAATTCCTTACTTTGGAAGTAGCCCAGCTGCCATTGAAAGAGAAAAAAATAATCAATCCCATATTCGATACATTGAATCAACATCGTACTCGCACCGTTTATAATAATGTTCAATATTACACCTTTGATATAAATTAACAACTTGTTCGGTGTATTAATTCCATGTGCATAATTTGTAGGATCACCAATTCAAATCAATACACTTCGAATACCAAGTCATTCAAGTTACGATACCTAACGTCGTGTGAGTAAGAGAGAAAAATGTGGGTGGACAGATCTACTCGGCATCCAAGGTGTTGTGAATTGATAGGTTTGTAGTCCGAAGTTTTGGTCCTGATTGATTCACATTATTTGAAAATAAATATATTCTTAAATAGTGATTTGACAAAAGAGATTGACTATAAACTTCGTCTCTCTCTGGACCTTTGGAAGTTTTTCCAAAGCTGAATTGCGCGTGCACTTCTGCATTCTTCAATAAAATAATGTTACACAAATTCACAACTTTTTTTTTTAGTTTTAAACCATACATTTTCTATCATTACACTTTTCAAAAATACATTTTTTATGAAAATATTGTGACTCAAACAAGGGCTTTATGTCCGACCAATATATAAATAGGACTGTATCATTGAAATTTTGTCTCGTTTTCAAATATTTTATTATACTAGGGTCGAACCCATTAATTATAAAAATAATTTCTCACACACTGAAAAAGACATGTCATTGTGTTAACAGATAAGAATGATCTATTACGTCTTCTTTTAAGAATAAAAAATTAAAAAAAATACTAGGATAATTATTAAAGTAGGAAAAGGGTCCACAACTCTTATCTTCCTTGTAACCTTACCTTTCATTTTCACATTTTTTGTTTATAATTTAAAGTGGTTTGATGTCACACTGCCACTGGGATGTTTGAAATGGCTAATGCATTATATGAAGGGCCACAGTTCGTATACCCATTAATCTACCAAAAACTCACTATCTTGATGAAGTTGAATATACTTCATTCATCCATAGTTTTTAGTAGAAAAAGTCAATGGTGCCTCAAACTTGTGAGTAGAATAATTACTCAAATTTCCAAGTTTCAATATTTTTATCTATATAGAAATAATTAGAGTGTGGGAAAAATCATAAAATTTAATTTGTTATTATTTTGTAATAATAATAAACATATTCATTGTTGATTAGCGGCAATTTTTTTACACAAAATATTATAATTTTTGAATAAAAATTGCTCTATTTATCAATAAATAGAAAGTTTTTGTTTTTGTTTTTGTTTTTGTTTTTTTTGTGTATTTCATCAGTTTTTATGTAGGAGAAATACCATTATATAATTTTCTTGACATGTAGAACTTACTTTGTGAAAAAATTTAATTGTTGAATTTTTTTAATTAATACAATCATTGAACTTCCATGTTAGCATTAAAGTGATTTTTATTCCATTTATATAATAATCAGAGTAACGAAAAAATTGACTTGACTATTAAACTGAACATAACTTCTCATGTCGATTATTTGACAAAAAAATTGAAGTATAATATTCACTATTATTTTATTTCGAAGGGATTTTCTATTAGTATTTAAATGTTTTGTTTTGTTATATTATTGGTCTAAATTAGAATTAATTGAAATATTTATATTTTAGTACTGGAAGCCGCTCATAATCTTAAATTACTTTTCCAATTGTTATTCAATTAGTAATAGACTTTTTAAAAAATATTAATTTTATAAATTTTATTATTTTATTTAACAAAAAATTATATTGATAAATAAACTTCATTAGATGCTTTTATGATAAAAACTCAATTATTAATCACATAATATTCTTTTAATTATCATTTCGTTATGGAAAAAAAGTTGTATTTTTTGCCATAAAAATACCAAATTATGACATAACAAACATATATAAGAAGACTGGAGGTATTGAAAATTCCTTAACCCTATTTTTTATTTAATTTTTGTTTTCAGATTTCTCAGTTAGTCCTTATAAATTTACTAAATTCTAGATTAATAAAAAATTATTTTATTAAAACCCTAATATATTATTAATCTTGTTTTATTAAAACCCTAATTTATTTAATAGTAACTTTATTTTTTCTAATCTATTACTCATAATATATCTTGTTTTTGTCCACTATATTCAGTGTCGATTTTTATGCCTTCCAGTCCAAAAGATCAAAATACCTGCCAAAAAAAAAAAAAAAGGTCAGTCACATCAAAACAAAATTTCAATTGAATTTACAAAAATTTTACTATAAAAAAAAGTAATAACAAAATGCACAATATTAAAAAAAAAAAAAAGTCATAAAAATAGAATAATAGTTAAATACACCACAAATACGTAGGAGTCAACTGGAAAGCACCAATGTTAAAAAAAATAAAAATAAATCATTGAATCGGTTTGATCAACAGAAAAATTCTGAAATGTTAGAGAAAAAGAGGGTCGGAAAAAAAATTATTTGATTAAATTATGTCAATGAATGAGGGTATAAAATAGCCTTGATAGATGAATATTTGTGATAATTTAAATTTCTGATTATTTTCCAAATTAAGTCCAGTCCGTAATTGGAATTGTAATCCAATAATTAAGTTGAAGTTAAGAATCCGATTTTGGAAAACTAATTGGCAGGTAATTATATTTATACACGAAATTAATTACTCAGTGACAATGTTTCGGATCCTATCGGATTACGGAATACAAAAAAAAACCCGTTCCGTTCGATTCCTGGAAGTGACGTCATCGCCACCGTATGCGCCGTCGTATGATTAACCACCATTCAATGACCTTCGGCCTTGGACATGACGGAAAGCCGGCTTTTGCGTGGCTGAAATCCGGCGCGGCGTCGCTGCTGATGGGAGGAGGGACGGATCAACGCTGCAAGAGTTCTCTTCACTAGGTCTCCTTCCACAGTCCCTATCCTCACCAGAGAGTTCGTCATGGCGGAACGCCGCATGTTCAATCGCACTGGAGACGACGCCGTTTGGGAATGAAGTGAACTTTGGTTCGCGAATCCTTTATGTAAGCTGCAACGGAACGAACCAGGGTGGTTGGTAGGGGAGCACATACAAGTTCTCTTCTGACCGGTGGCAACCCGGGGATTCTCCCGGCTCGACACTGAGATGGACCGGTTCGGTGAGGAGGTGAAACGGACGGAGCGGTTTGTGTAGTTATAGAGATTTACGCGGGTAGGAGAAGTGGGCCTTTGGAAGGAGCGAGCGGCTGTAAAGGTGGAAGATGTGGTGGAAGCGAAGGACGATGCAGTGTTAGAAGACGGCGCGTGAGAGGAGCGTGAAGAGTATTGGTGGCCGAATCTTCCGTAAGGTGAGAGTGATCGGAGAACCGGTCCGCTCGATTTACGTGGGGAATAATGAGCCGCCATTGAAAATACAAGTTTTGCTTATACTGCTTCTTGAAAAGGGGTTTTCAGGCATTCAATTTGGCAAACCGGGCTTCACTCCGGCTTTGTATTTATAGAGTTTGAAACGGGGGTTGGGTAGGGTGGGCTGTGTTTACTTTTCGTTTGTGACTTTTTCTTTCTAGCGTTTTGTATTAATTGCAGTTGTGGTCCATAATTCTAGGGAAAATAACATTGAAGAGTTCTTGTTTCAAACTTTTGAATAGAAATATTGACTCCAATAATTGTATTCCTATGAGGGTGGTCCCTATTTTTTTTTAGGTCCTCAAATTTTGAGGAAGAATTACTTTGTTTTAGCACATTGTTTCATTAGTGTAAATGGTTAACTGAATTTTCTTTTGTCAAAAGTCTAGAAGAAAGAAAATATTATATATATGTAATTACAACTCTAATTTCAACGAAACATAAATTATTTTAAGTATTCGTGAAATATTCTAAACTTTTTGTGGCATCAGTCTACATCGAAAATTCTAACTATCTTGAATCTAAAATATTTGAACACAAAAAATATATTTAGCAAATCTAAGGTAATAAACCATGATCAACTCCATAAAAACTTTGGTATTCTAATAACATAGCAATTTTCTTTACTCGCTAAACTTCTATTTTTTGGCTCGATTAATTATTGAGTAATCATATTCAATAATGTTGATGGTGACCATTTAATGTGCTAGTGTGATCATTGTTAAACTGTCCTACAAGATTAGAACGATGTAACAATGACTCTATTTTCACAAGGGTGATGATGATAAGCACTCCTGTTAGGATGTAATTGAAACATTTTGTTAGGGTATGAAACTACAATTTTTTTCAATTCTAATTAAACCCTTGTTTGAACCCTATTTCCCCAAAAAAAAAATGCATTTCAAAATAGTGTTTCAATTTCATTTCAATAACATAATCTTTAATAAAATAATATTATACGTAAATTCAAATTTTTTTCGTATTTTTTAACTACACATTTTTCATAAAACATTATTTAAAAATGCATTTTTTCACGAAAACTATAGTCACGCATATGATCAACCGTACTTTCGAAAACCGTGGGCTGCCCGCTAGTAGCATGCCAATGTGGTTAAAATAGAAAACTCATAATAATATAGGATGTAATTGAAACTTTTTGCAAATAAGAAGGGTATGAAACTGCAATTTTGTAATTTCAATTCTAATTAATCTGTACTCACGTGTATGATCACACACAACCATAGTTTCGAAAACCGTGGGCTGCCCGCTAGGCGCTAGTAGCAAAACGACAAAGCGAATAGCCGTTTGATTAACGGCTTGTCTGGTGGGGCTAAATAATTCAGTGGGTTGCCACGTAATCGATCTGCTTTAGTGACACGCTCCGTATAGATTCCACGTATTAAGGTAGTACTGGCTGTGAGTGGGGTATGGGGAACATCATACATGAGCGGCGGTGCACATGTGGGTGTTGTCACGTGTGTCCATAGACAATGTGACATCTAATCGATACCTTTCGTTTGTTATTTTGTGAGATTTTTTCCCCTAATGTAAAATGTTAGATCGAATAGTACAGAATTAAATTACAGAAAATAAAATAAAAATTTTGTGTGCTCGTCTAGTTTGTCCACTACTATCAGATATATCGGATGCATTTTGACAAGTTATTTGATAAAGTGAATTCTACAGTATTGAAAAATTGTATATCGAACATGTTTTAAGAGTTTGACATAGACTTCAGATTGTTGGTTATCTACATGATTTATTAGTGATATTTAGTTCAAGAAAAAGCTACGATGAAAAGTTCGATCGGCTTGTTCAGTTACTCTTTCCGTAAGCGGTAAGCCCTACATTGTGACGGATGGAGAGTGCAATCTAAGCTTTAGCACATAATTTCCGTAAATAAATAAATAGTCTTTATCCTTTTGGTTACCCTTGATATGATTGGACATTAATGTTTTCTATTTGTTTATCGATTTAGTGATTGGATACAATACATAAATAGAAAGAGAATATAACAACTAAAATTTTAAAGTGATCTTAAATCATCATATAAGATTCTTCACCTAACCTTCTGCAATTAAGAACTTGAAAAGATTCGAAAGGTTTCATAGTTGTTGATATTGCCATGATTTTTTTTAGTTGAGTTACGACACTAATCAAAAGGCAAAAAATGATTAATTAGTTTATTGCATGAGGAGAATAATTTGGGCACTAATCAAAGCATATAATAACGATTTAATTATTTATTACACAATTAGGATAATAAGTTTGAAGTTAAGAGTGGTGTTACCATGTTTGCATGATTGTGGTTGGGTTTATAGGAAATCAATCAAATGAATAATTAATTATATGGTAATATGAATGAAATTCAAAAGTTAAATTGCATATTAAATTATTTAGGCCCCTGTTTAATAGCCATTCTTTGTTTTTGATTAATTTATTTTTTTGGGAAGAATGAGTTTTGGAACAGTAATTTCTCGAAAAATATGTGATTAAAAAATAGAAAAAAGATTTAAGTTTATGTGAGAAGAATATTTTATTGTGAAAATGTGTGGTTGATAATGAGCATGAGATTTTTTTTTTTTTTTGAAAGAATGATTACCAAATAGGGACTTAATCACTTTTATGATGTATCATAGTGATAGATCAACATATCAAGCAATGATTACATAATATCCACTATGGTATGATTGTCAATCAAATAATTTTCATAAATTTGGATATGAGAGATGAGGAAGCAATGAAATTTATCCTACAATTTTTTATTATTATTTTTTTTTTGTGATTAGTTATTTTTCGACACAATTTGGTCTTCTAAGAAAGATCAGACTTTTCACATTAGGCCCCCTGTTTGAGCCACATTATTGTAAAAATAAGAATGAGAAATATAGTCGTTATGAGTCTCACACAAGAAATAAAAAGTCAATTATAATGACTTGATGTGATGGATAACGGTTATATTTTTTATTTTAATTAGAAAATAACGAGGCTCAAATAGGACCTAGGATGGTAAGTAGTGGCAGATCTAGGTATCTAGGCGAGCACGAATGGCCGCTAGACAATCGCCCAATATAAGAAAATGGAAAAAAAAGTTCCTGCAGAACCAGCATAGGCGACCATAAAGACTCCTCAGATGCTAAGCCCATGATGGTAAGTATCATTTACAAGATTATTGGGCATAGTTCAATGATAATGGTGGAATAAATATCAATCCTAATGTCTCAATAATTCACAAGAAGAGGGAATATATTACAAGAAGACAAATTGGGGTATATGAGATATCGAGAAAATGCATGAACAAATCGAATTATTCATAGATGACCGATAATGAATAGGATTTTGTGACTTGGCATTTTGAGAATTGTAGGATACAATTATTTATTTATTATTATTTTTATTTTTTTGGGGAATGTGGGGTTAGAAAGTAGAGAAAAATTATGAATCTCATAGAAACGTGGTTGAAAATGGTTTTAG